GCACACTGTGAGAGTGGTCTCATGATGTTGGTTGACTGAGACAGGGAAGATTCATGGCCATGTTGCACTTACTTGGTGGCAGCATCACTCCAGTCTGTACCATGGTGGGTGAGGGCGGCCCGTGACCAAGCGCACCTGTGGTTAGGAGGCAGGGCTCTTCCTGAGGCAGCTGACACAATCCTCTGCCCTGACCTGATGCTTTTTGCTGCTCCCCATGACCTTGGACATGTCTGTGACCGTGGACAGAAGAGTTTAGCAGGCTACAGTCCGTGGAGTCACAAGAGTAGGGCACGACTTAGCAACTAAGCCACCACTATGACCTTGGAGGTTTTAGCTCTATTGAACGACTGGAAGATGAGTGGCTTCAGGAGCACATGAAAGCTGTTCTGAAGGGGTGACCCCTGTTCCCACACATTTGGCTGGAGAATAAGTTAGTGCAGCCTCTCTGGAGGCCACTTGGGCCATATTTACCCAGTTGAAAATCACTGTTGTTGTGAGGCTCAAGGGTGAGCAGGAGGGGCCCTTCTCAGCCTCTGCTTCACAGAAACCCCTGGGTGAGCACAGCTGAACATCCCCCCAGCTTTCTTCCCTGCAGGCTGATATGATAGCCCAGCCCCACTGTGCCATGGAACACCCATCTCCACATGGAGCTAGCCGATCTCACCACCTCCCAGCTCTGGGACACTGGGGTCAGGTCACTGCTGTTGAATACCAGCCTGGCAGTGCTCTGAGCGCCAGTGTAGCAGGCCTTCCAACCAACTTGATAACTGAATTCTTCATTCTCCAGGTGAGACTTTTCTGAACTGCTAGCTTTAATTAAGAGAAGAAGGCCGTTGTCTCATTTTTACTTGCATCTGTCATTTTGAGAAATTAATGAGTTAATCGATAATTACAAACACCCTGTAGAAACACCATCCAGAACACATAATTTTAATATTTTCCTGTTTCTTTTCTGTATCAAAATGTTTATGCTGGGGTTGAAATATCTCCATTTTAAAATATAAGCATCATTTACTAAACTTTTATTTTCTTGGGCTCCAAAATCACTGCAGATGTTGACTGCAACCATGAAATTTAAAAATGCTTGTTCCTTGGAAGAAAAGCTATGAAAAACCTAGACAGTGTATTAAAAAGCAGAGACATTACTTTGCCACCAAAGGTGCATATAGTCAAACCTATGGTTTTTCCAGTAGTCACGTATGAATGTGAGAGTTGGACCATAAAGAAGGCTGAGTGCTGAAGAATTGATGCTTTTGAACTGTGGTGTTGGAGAAGACTCTTGAGAGTCCCTTGGACAGCAAGGAGATCCAACCAGTCCATCCTAAAGGAAATCAGTCCTGAATATTCATTGAAAGGACTGATGCTGAAGCTGAAGCTCCAATACTTTGGCCACCTGATGGGAAGAGCCGAAGCCCCTGATGCTGGGGAAGATTGAAGGCAGGAGGAGAAGGGGATGACAGAGGACAAGATGGTTGGATGACATCACCAACTTGATAGATATGAGTTTGAGCAAGCTCCCGGAGATGGTGAAGGACAGAGAAGCCTGGAGTGTTGGAGTTCATGGGGTTGCAAAGAGTCGGACATGACTGAGAGACTGAACAACAGCTAGACTTTTAAAATCTGGTCACAAAAGTCATACATGCTCATTACATAAAAACTGCAGAGTGGAGAAGCATGAAGAAGAAAACAAAAGCCACCTGCCACCTGGAGGCTCACCTTCCTGTCCCTGGGTGGAATGTCCCTCCCCTGGGCCTCACTGAAGGGGCTTGTGTGGTCAGGCTGTGGCCCAGCCCCACACACGTGTGTGCGCCCTGCTTCCCTCAGATCTTCTGGATCACCCAGGTCAGCCCCAGTTTTTCAGTATCAGAAATAATGCTGCAGTGAAGACGCATGGTGAACCTTCACGTACATCGCTGATTATTTCCTTAGGACGCATTTGAAAAACAGCCGTAGGAACAGAGGGCTTGCATTTCCTATTTTCATGTTTCATCTTGAAGGGACTACTGAATGTCCACTCAGATGGCTGAGCCGAGGCCCCAAGCCTCACTAGGCTGGGGGCGCTGGCAAGTTAATGTGTGGTGTCTCTTGGGGCAACTCACATCATGGTCTTGACCTTCCTTGCCCAAGGCCTTTCTCACCACTCCTGGTGTCACAGAGTGGTCAGGGCCTGTGGGCCAGCCAGGCCTGGGTCTGGGAGCTGCTTTTCCTGCTCCTCTGTGGCCCTTGGCAGGTGACTTCCCCTCTCTGTCTTCCTTGGAGGCACTACTCTGACTGCTGGCTCACTGCATCCGTTCCTGCCTGCCCCATGTGCAGTCAGAGGTCAGCTAGCCCTCCTGCCCTGGCCGGGGAGGGGCGGTGGGGGGGTGGGCAGGGAAAGTGGGGTTCAGCCCTGTTTTTTCCAGTTCAAGTCCTAGAACCCTAGCTTTTCGCTGGGGTGGTGCAGCCCCTGACTCCCCAGAGGGAGCAGGCAGATGGCTCGCCCCTCCTTGGCCCCTTGTGGTGTTAGAGGAAGGCTGCTCCAGTGGTCTCGCTGGCAGCAGTGTGACACTGCCCGTGACGCCCTGTGAGGCCTGGTGGGTAGATGGGTGGGAGCAGCAGCCACTCATGGCCGTCCATCTGTCTGCTCCTCGGCACCCCAGAAAATGCTGCCACCTCAGCAGGCATCCCTGAACATTCTCTTGCCTGTCACCAGCAAAAGTCAGGCCTCAGGCCGTAACCCAGAAACAGGTGGTAGGTTTTCTGTTTACGGTTTCCCTTTGTTTTTGTTTCTCTGCCCTTAAAGCAAATAGAGAAGGATTTGCTAGAAGTGAGAATGGGAAGCACTGAACCCCTGGTTTGCTTTTCAGTGGCTCACTTTCTCTCTGAAACTGTCACATCCCACAGTTTCATCACATCTCTTGTTTTCTCTGGTCCAGCCGAGCTGTTTTCTTAGAACTTGTCAGGTTTCTTTATGGTAAAAAAATCCAGAGGTGTGAACGGCTATGAGCCCACCTCTGAACCCTGCATAGAGGGTAAGCCATAAGACACTCCAGCTTTTGGTCGCTGCCTCTGAAAGGGGTGTGGGCCACGTGCCCTGGAGGGTCTGTGGTGGTGGAGGCCTGGAGCCTTCCGGAGCAGCTGCTGGGCCAGGCAGGCTTCTCCCCCGTTCCAGCTTCTGCCTGCTGGGCCTGGAGGCTGGCAGACCTTGTGTCAGGAGCCCCTGCTGCGGGGAGCAGGTGGCCGACAGCCTTCACAAGGAGAGGCTCAGGACAGGCCTTCACTGCTGGGGGCTGTATTTGTTTTGTTAGGTGATTATACAGTACTGGGTGTAATCTTTTTTTTAATGAAAAACAGAGGGCAAAACTGTTTGGTACATGATAACAAACACAACACATTCTCTTTCCCCTGGAGCAAGTTAGTGACAAAGTGAGGCTTGTCAGGAACAGGATGCCTGAATCCAGGGCAGGGTGGGGGGGCTGGGGTGGGGGGCAAGCCACCGAGCCATGGGTGAGGGGCCACCTGCTCCTTTTAGCCCCTGACATCCAGAAGAGCCCTCTGGGGTCCCTGTGCCTGTCCTCTGCCCCTTGAACATAAAGAGGTGCTTCCCCCACAGCGCAGCCAGGATCAGGCCATTTCCTTGTGCTCTCGTGGGCGAGGCGGATGTGAGGTCTGGCATGGTGGCTGGTGGGGGACGATGGCTGGGGGTGAAAGGCTCTGGCTGGACTCTGGGCTCTGATTTAGGAGCAGACTGACTTGGAATTTTCTCCTGGGTGAGATAGGGTTAACAGATGTTGCCCTGTTTACTGAATACGGCAGTTGAAGATGAAAACACATCGTGATATGTTAAGTGAAGTATCACTGTCAAATAAGACTTGTTAAAAATCCTCTAGGAGGACTTCCCTCATGGTGCAGTGGCTAAGAGTCCACTCCCAGTGCAGGAAGCCTGGGTTCAATCCCTGATCAGGGAACTAGATCCTACATGCTGCAACTAACACCCACTGCAGCCAATTAAATAAATATTTTGAAAAGTCCTTTAGGAACAACTCGGAAAGCTGGTCCACCCATCTCCTGGTCAGGGACACTGCTCTGGCCAAGAGCACCGAGGTGGAGCAGAGGTGGGCCTTGGGACAGGGCAGGCAGTGGACTGTGGACCTCGCAGGACGCCCTGGTGCTGGGTGGGAACCATCTTCAGTGGTATTGGGTGGCAGGCGGTTCCTGACTGCTCCAGTTGAGGGGAGGTGTGGAGAGGGTGTGCCCAGGTCTCTGGCCACCCAGGGTGGGTGGGATCCTAGAGCAGGGCATAGAGTCAGACTGGCCCTTCCTCAGGCTTCCTCCTCTCAAGCAGTCTGAAGAATTCCAGGTGCATGTGGCGGGTCATGGCCCTCCTCCTTCTGTTGGTCGTTGTTTTGTCATCAAGTTGTGGGGGAGAAGGAGGGAGTTCTCTTCTCACTTAAAGAACAGACACGCAGGCTGTGTGCATGCTGCCTCTGAGGGTCTGCTTTGCTTTAGACAAGTTCCTGGGTGACCACAGTGGGGTGAGTGTCCGGAGCAGAAGCGAGCCCTGTGTCTATATCCAGCTCGCTGGAGCCTCCAGGCCCCTGCTGAGGGCTAGGGAGCACAGTTCGGGGGGCTGGGGTGGGAGTTAAGGCACCGACCCCACACAGCTGAAAATCCAGGTAACCTCACAGTCAGCCCTCCTGTGCATCCCCAGTCTCCATGTTCATGTCATGGAAGGAGGTAAGTAGTTGAGTTCTGTTTGTCCTTGACTTACCTAGTTTAGTTCATTGTTTTAGAATCTTGTATGTTTTTTAAAATCCTTAACATAATGAGATTAAACAAAAAGCCATTTGAGTTCCAAAGGCATGCATCGAGAGGGCATTAGTGTTTCCTGTCTTGGGACAACCCCCAACTGGAGGTGAGGCTGCCTCTCCTGGCTGCCGTGGGAGTCAGGCCAGGACAGGCTGTGACCTCAGCGCACTCTTTTCCCACCCAGGTACCGCCAGCTGGCATCTGCTGCCATGATGCCATCTCCACATGTGGGGATGGCCCTCCGGCGCCTGGCCTGGGCCGTGGCTTCCCACCGGCTGACCCCCTGGACACATGGAGTGAGTGGCCACCTGCACACAGCCCCGGCCACACGCTCGGACTGCGGTGCCCCAGTCTTCAGCCGCGCCCCGGCCTTCGGGGACAGGCTCGCCCTTGTTGACCAGCATGGCCGCCACACGTACAAGGACCTCTACTCGCGCAGCCTCCGCCTGTCCCGGGAGATCTGCCAGCTCCGCGCCTGTGCCGACGGGGACCTCCGGGAGGAGCGGGTCTCCCTCCTGTGCTCCAACGACGTCTCCTTCGTGGTGGCGCAGTGGGCCACGTGGATGAGTGGCGGCGTGGCCGTCCCCCTCTACCGGAAGCACCCCCGGGCCCAGCTGGAGTACTTCATCCAGGACTCGCGCAGCTCCGTGGTCCTTGCTGGCCCGGAGCATGTGGAATTCCTAAGCCCAGTGGCCCGGAAGCTGGGAGTCCCGCTCCTACCTCTCCTGCCCACAGTCTACCAGGGGGTGGCCGAGGACCCCGAAGAGGGCCGGGTGCCAGAGCGGGACTGGAGAGACCGGGGCGCCATGATCATCTACACCAGCGGGACCACGGGGAGGCCCAAGGGCGTCCTGAGCACCCATGACAACATCAGGGCTGTGGTGAGTGACTGGGCTGCCACCTTCCAGAGGGGTGAGCTGTGTCCCTGCGGTCAGTCCCTGCAACAGCCATGGTCAGACAAGTGCCTTCCTGGTGGCCTTCTCTTCACAGGCCCGTGACAGCTCTCACCATCACCCCCACCCTGCTAGAAGCACCCAGAGATGTAGGGCCAGGGCCGTGGGACCGCCAGCCCCACTGGCCATGTAGGGGCGCTGTGCCCAGGTGCCAGGGTTATGGGCCCCCCGGGCTTCTCCAGCTCAGGATGGGTCACTGTACATGGGGGGAGGTTTTCAAAGAAACCAGCTGCAAGTGAGTACCAGGACGGTGCCCTTAGCATCTTGTAGCGCGGCTTCTTTGGGAAACGAGAGCAGGAGGTGCGTGCCACGGCTCAGGTATTACTCTGCATACTCAGTTGCTATCTTTGTAAAGCTCTGCAGCTGCTTTATTCATCTGTAGTTTATACTCTTTTTGCTTCCAAAATGTATGTGCATGTACAGCAGGAGCAGGAAATAGAAGTTCAGACCCACCAGAGTGAGACCAGAGGTCTGGCTAATTCAGTCCAGCTAAGTCAGCGTGAACTGAGTCGGGCTGGCTGCAGGCCAAGCGAGATTACAGACTGTCTCTGTCTCCCAGGAGAGGCCATCTCTGGCCCAATATTTCGGGGGGGGTGGCAGTCACCACGACACGCACAAGGATGAGCTCGGCAGTGACTCGGGAGTCTTTGGTGGAGCTAGGGAGAAAGGTGCTGGAATCAGTATGGTCAGACTGGCAGCTGGATTCAAGCCTGGGCTTGAATCTACAGGTAGCACCTGTAGATTTTCTGACCGCCTTGGGGGAGAGCTGCCCAGAGTCTGCAGAGGCCTTAGGACCCCAAATCTAAGGTCCTTTTAAACTGGCTGAAGCCCCTGACTCATGCAGCCCTGTTCTCCAACAGAAGGGTTGGTGGCTAGACAGACAGCCCTGGGTCAGACCCGAGGTCATTTCGTTATCAGCTCCCGGGGATGCGCCAAGGACGGGCCAACGGGTCTCCCCCCCTTCCCTTCCCCCTCTTCCTGCCACCCTCCCCCCTCTCCCCACCTTGGCCAGGGAGGCCAGCCCTCCTGCCCTGAGGCTGTGCTGTCATCCTGCAGGTGACGGGGCTGGTCCACAAGTGGGCCTGGACAAAGGACGACGTGATCCTCCACATCCTCCCACTGCACCATGTCCACGGTGTGGTCAACAAGCTGCTATGCCCACTCTGGGTAGGGGCCACCTGTGTGATGCTGCCCGAGTTCAGTGCTCAGCTGGTAAGTTGGGGACAAGCTCTTAGCATTGCCGGCCGGGCCCACAGGGGGCGCAGGCACCCAGTAGGGAGTTTCCTGCTGCTGCTGGAGCCAGGGATCCCAAGTTGGGGCTTCAGGCCGCACAAGTTATTCTGTCAGTTCAGGAAGTCCAAGTCCAGAAGGGTCTCACGGAGCTGGGGTCCAGGTGTCACAGGCCTGATTCTATCTGGAGGCCCCAGCAGGATCTGCTCCAGCCTCTCTCAGCTTGTAGAGGCACCTATATCACTCCAGCCTCTGCTTCTGTGTCCTCGTGGCCGCCATCCCTTCTGTGGTCAGACCTCCGCTGCCTCCCTCTCATAAGAACCTTGTGATTGCATCGGACCCACCCAGCGTCTGGTCTGGTGGAGTGTGTCCCCGTGATGTTGTCTAGTGTGTCTCGCTGTCCCTTCTACTTCTAGAGGTGTGATGCCAAACTGTTTCCCAGAGTGGCGGTTGTGTTCACGTTCTCACCAACAAATGCACGAGGACGCCAGCTCCCCCACATTCTCACCAGCATTCGTTATCTCACTGTGGTTTAAGTTTGCGTTTCCCTGATGACCGAGGATAGCATTTTTTCATGGTCTTATTTGCATCTGTGTATCTTCTTTGGTAAACTGTCTATTCAGATGTTTTGCCCATTTTAAAGTCAGGTTGTTTGACTTCTTAAGTTTGTTTATTCTGGATGCTAGTCCCTCATCACATAGATGGTTTGCAGGTATTTTCACCCATTTTGGCTTATATTCTCATTTTCTTAATGACATCTTTTGAAGCACACATGCTTTTAATTTTTTTTATGAAATCCATTTCATCAGTTTTTTTTCATTTCTTAGATCATGTTTTTGCTGCCATACCTAAGAAATCTTCACCTAACCAAAAGTCATGAAGATTTTCTCCTATGGTTTTTCCTTGAAGTTTTATGGTTTTAACTGATACATTTAAGTCTCTGACCCACTTTGGATTACTTCTTAGGTATGGTGAGAAATGGGTCTAGAAGTCCTCTTTTTGGATGTGGATATTCAGTTGTCTCTGCACTGTTAGTTGGAAAGATTGTCCTACTGGAGTGATATGGTGCCCCTGTCACAGATCAATTGGCCATCATTGTATTGATTGTTTCTGGAGTCTCGTCTGCTCCAATGGTCTGTGTATCTGACCTTACACCAGCATCACATGCTGTTGAATGTAGCGCTCTGGAGTCAGTTTGGGGGCATTCTCCACTTTCCTCCCTCCTTTTCACATTTGTTTTGACTCCTCCGAGTCCTCTACCTTTTCCTGTTAATTGTAGGGTCAGCCTGTTGATTTCTGCAAAACAGAGCATGCTGGGGTTTGGGGAGAACTGTCTTAGCAACACTGGGTCTTCCACCCATGGACGTGGATGCATCTCTACTGACTGAGCACTCTGTCTCTGCTGATGTGTCATGTTGTGTCGTCTCGTCCTACACACGGTGACACTCTTCTTTCTCCTCTTCTCTCCTGTGTGTATTTCTGTTGAGACCATCTCCATTGACTTGTGCCTGACTTCTGTCTTTTCTCCGCTGCGTCTAGTCTGTTAAGTGTTTGCCGTGAATTCCTAAGTTCGCATAATATACTTTCCAGCTTATAATGGTTCTCTTGTATTTCTACTTCTCTGATGAAGTCCTTGATCATCCCCCAATTCACTTATCTTCTCCAAATTTCTTAACCTATCTATTGATTTATACTCCTTGCCATAATTTCAACATGTGTATTCTGAGGGTCTGCTCCTATTGACTTTTCTTCTTTTCATACAGGCTTTATAATGGGGCGGGGTTGTTTGTAAAAGAACGATAGTTTTCTCCCTCCAGAGGCACGCCTTTCCTGTGGAGTAGCTCAGGCGAGGAACTAGTTACTAGCATCTGATTAGGAACTGGGGCTGGGGCTGCCTCTGGGGGAGGCTATCCGTGTGAGGTGTGCTGAACCCCTGTCCTGCCCTGACCACATGGTGCAGTGGCTCCATGGAGATGAGGGTGAGCACACACGAGCACTTTGTCAGCGTGAGCTGAAAAATTTGAAGCATCTCTATATTAAAACAAGAAACATCTGTTAAAGAGAGTAAAATACAAAATTCATGTGACTTCTTCGGATACAACAGCCCCACTCTCTGCCCCCGTTGTGCGTGGTCTGTGCTGTGCTCCGGCCTGCATGGCCCCTTGCCCAGCTGCATCCATGCTCGTCTGCATGGCTGGAAAAGTCTGAGGTGCCACCTCTCCCCTGATGGCGGATCTGAGGCCAGTCCCTGAGCCAGGACCCATCCCCACCCCCCGACTCCCTTCTTCCTCAGACCAGATGCCAGGGTCCCCTGCACAGTGAATCCACGAGGGCCAGGAGCTTCTGTCACCCTGTGAAAGTGAGACCCTCTGACACTTGAGAAAAAGGGGTCCTCTGCTGAGAGCACTATTCCTGGAACTGAAGGCCCACACAACTGTCTGTGCAGGTGTGTCTTCTAGTCTTTTTGCTGTCTGCATCCTCTTCTCTTTTTAGGTTTGGGAGAAGTTCTTAAGTACTGAAGCTCCCCAGATTAATGTATTTATGGCAGTGCCTACCATCTACAGCAAGTTGATGGATTATTACAACAAGCATTTTACCCAGCCTCATGTTCAGGATTTCGTGCGTGCAGTTTGTGAAGAAAAAATCAGGTTGGTGAACATAGTCCACCTTCCCATCTGGAAAGTTCTAAAGATTCGCAAATGTAGCTTACTTTTAGTGAGTCAGTTCTACTAAGTTTTAGGCAGCACTATGTTCTGTTTACTTTAAAATGTGTCTCTACATCTCTCTCTACACACCTGTGTTCTCAGCGCAGCTGCCTGGGTTCTGCATCCATGTCTGTTCTGTCTCTGGGTCCCTCTGTCTGTCTGTCTCTGTCTACGCACCCGTCTTCCAGTGGAGTCTGAAGGATGAGGGTAAATGTCCTGTCTGAGCCCGTATCTGTAGGCTCTCAGCAGCCCCCCAACCCCCACTCAGACACCCTTCCTAAAAGACATGCTGGCTCTTTGGCCCCATCGGTGGCGTGTTTGGTCTCCATGTTCCCATGAGTCTGCAGACCACGGCTCCCCTCCATTTATAGTTGGGCGGTTCACTTGAGAGTGCATGGAAGTGACTAGTTTGGCAGGTCTTTACAGACCTGATGACATGTGCACCGAGAGCCCAGACAGCCATGAACTTTGCACCCTCTGTGCATCTGATTCCTGGTCCTTACGAGGAGCTCACGAAGGGTTTCCTGGAGAGAGTTCCCGACTGCCCAAGATGAATACATGATCTGGCCCTTCTGCTTCCATTTAGCTGCTCTCTGCTCCTCTTCTGTAAGATGCTTGGTGGAACTGGAGCCCTCTGTGAGGGTGCCACCCTCCCATGAGGCACTGCTCTGGGGCCTCCAGGACAAGGATGGTGTGCACTGTGCTGAAGCAGCCGTGTGCTCGTGAGAGACTGAGGTGCCTGTGGTTGTGCTGGGCAGGTTGATGGTCTCGGGCTCTGCTGCACTGCCCCTGCCAGTGCTGGAGAAGTGGAAAGGCATCACCGGCCACACACTGCTGGAGAGGTACGGGATGACGGAGATTGGCATGGCCCTGTCCAACCCCCTGACCGCAGCTCGCCTGCCAGGTATGAGCAGTGCCCGCCAGCTGTGTCCTCCCTCTGCTCTGGGTCCTCGGGTGGACCAGTCTACAGGCGATGCTGCCCTGCTGGGTTAGGGGAGCCTTCCCAGGTGACCCTGAAGCCATGTGCTTGGTAGGGCACCCCCGGGCTGGATGCTGCTTCCTCCAGACCAGGTCACCTGTGGGCCAGAGCCTCCCATCCAGGTGCCCTGAGCCACACAAGGGCAATGGCAACAGAGAAGGCGGGTGTGGGGGGCAAGGGAGCAAGGCCCCCACCTGTGCTTGGTGACCTGTGTGCCTCTGGATGGCCTGCTGCTCTGGGAGGCCTCCTGCCCTTTGGTCTTCCTTTTCCTCCTTCTCTAGGGCATTCCACACAAACAGCCTTCAGGTCTCAGATCCCTGAGAGGAAACCTGAGGGTCCGAGGCCTGAGATGTGAGCCTGTTCTGTTCTGTTCTGGGCTCTTTTCCAGCCCTTGTTTGTCCAAAACACAGGAGTCTCAGAAATAAATCTAAGGTGATTCTGTGCCTGTACTTCTGTCTGTCCATTCACTTGTCTTGCATGGACAGTAAAAGGTACCCTTCTTGGGGGGTGGTCTGTGAGTTCTCAGTATGTCCACCATCACTGTCAGGTAGACGACTCTTGAGTGACCTCAAGAGTCTCCCCATTTTGTGATCAGCACTTCCTCCCTGGCCAGCGAGCAGGTCCCTGGTTGCACTCCCTGTAGCTGTGCATCTCCTAGACAGTCACACAGACTCAGCCTCTGGTCCTGCCTTTGGGGTCTGTCTACTCTCACGTGGCAGGACGTGTCTGAGACACATCCTGTGCCAAGCAGCATCTATGGTGTGCATGGGCTGCCTTTTGCTAACCTGTCCACCACCAGCAGACACTGGGTTGTGTCCAGTCTTGGACAGTTTACTAGTCAGGCTGTTATGAAGGTTTGTGTGCAGGCTGCTGTGTGAACATGTCCTCACATCTCGTGGGCAGATGCCTCAGAATGCAACTGCTAGGTCACGAGGTAGGTGTGAACTGTGCACAGAACAGCCCTGAAGTGGAGTTGATACCCCCCTGACAGATGAGAACCCTGAGGCTTGAGCAGGTGTTCATGCTCTGTTGCCACCAAAGACAGCCAGGTCTGGGGTAAGAGAGGGGCCAAGAGGTGGGCAGGGAATCTCCTGGTCAAGACCAAGAGCAAGCTCAGGCTGGGAGCCGGGACCAGGGCCAGGATAGGATTCAGCAGCACAAGGCCACTCGGGCATCTGCAGGAAGGTGTGGAGCATGCTTGGGGTGGAGTCAGAGGCCGGGGAAAGAGGGACCTGCGCCAGCGCCCTCCTAGGGTGAGGCCCCGGGGGTGACCTGGACACGCACTGACGGGAGGCTGCCAGCACTTACTGGACCCGGACGAACAGGCACCTTAGGACCCAGTGCAGGGCGGCCTCCCGCCCCAGAAGCCAGGAGGGGCCATAAGACAAAGTCACCCGGACACAGCTAACAACCATTCTAAAGGGAAGTGGAAGGATGGAGTGACCCTGACCACAGCCAGCATGCTCCTTGGTGGACAAAAGTCCATGCAGTGTGGGAGGGGCTGTGGCCCCGCGCTGTGGGAGGGGCTACGTCTCAAGGTGAAGAGAGGGGCTGCACCTCCATGTTGTGGGAGGGACCGCAACCCCGCTCTGTGGGAGGGGTTGTCATGCCGTGTGGGAGGGGTCACGCCCCACACTATGGGCAGGTCTGTGTGACGCAGTGTGGGAGAGGACACGTTCCGTGTTGTCGGAGGGGCGGTGTCCAAGCAGTGTGGGAGGAGTCACGTCCTATAGTATGAGGGGTTGTGTCACGCACTGTGGGCGGGGCCACCCCCACGCAGCGTGGGATGGCTTTGTCACATGGTGTGGAAGGGGCTGCGTCATGCAGCATGGGAGGAGCTGTCACGCACTGTGGGCAGGCCGTCATGTTCACTCCATGGGGGAGGGACCATGTCAATATCGTGTGGGACAGGTTTCTTTTTGGACTGACAGAAAGTTCTGGAACTCAATAGAGGTGCTGCTTGCACAACGTTGTGAATGTACTAAATGCCACTGAGTTCTATGCCTTATACTAAATAACTGCATCATATATAGATTTTGCTTCAGCTTTAAAAACCTTTGGGAGCAAAAGAGGAGGAGGCCCCTAGAACCTTAAAAGACAGGCTGAAACGAACAAGACGGCACCATCTAGCAAACTGAGACCCTGTCATAGACTCTCCCACGAGTGTGGATCCCAGAATACTGGGCGGCTCGTGGAGTTTGCCAGCTGGCTTTCCTGGGGGTTTTTCAGTTCAGTTCAGTCGCTCAATCATGTCCGACTCTTTGCAACCCCCTGATGAACCTCAGCACGCCAGGCCTCCCTGTCCATCACCAACTCCTGGAGCCCACCCAGACCCATGTCCATTGAGTCGGTGATGCCATCCAACCATCTCATCCTCTGTTGTCCCCTTCTCCTCCTGCCTTCAATCTTTCCCAGCATCAGGGTCTTTTCAAATGAATCAGCTCTTCGCATCAGTTGGCCAAAGTATTGGAGTTTCAGCTTCAGCATCAGTCCTACCAATGAATATTCAGGACTGATTTTCTTTAGGATGGACTGGTTGGATCTCCTTGCAGTCCAAGGGACTCTCAAGAGTCTTCTCCAACACCACAGTTCAAAAGCATCAATTCTTCGGTGCTCAGCTTTCTTTATAGTTCAACTCTCATATCCATACATGACCACTGGAAAAACCATAGCCTTGATTAGATGGACCTTTGTTGACAAAGTAATGTCTCTGTTTTTCAGTATGCTGTCTAGGTTGGTCATAACTTTCCTTCTAAGGAGTAAGTGTCTTTAAATTTCGTGGCTGCAATCACCATCTACAGTGATTTTGGAGCCCAGAAAAATAAAGTCAGCCACTGTTTCCACTGTTTCCCCATCTATTTGCCATGAAGTGAGTTTTTATCCTGTGACAAATGTTAAAATAAAGGGCCTGAAACCTTGAATTGAAGGCTCAGACACCAGGCCTCTGGTCCTGGAGGCTCTGTCCCACATTAGCTGTTCATTACAGTGTCGTTGCAGCCACCACCTGCCCTCACTTCTCCAGGTTCAAAAGTTGATTGTAACTACGCAGGGGAATGCACTGAGCAAACTACAGGCATCTAATAAGTGAGCCAGGATGCTGGCTGCATTACCCCTGCCGTGAGGATGCCCGCCACCCCCGCCCTGCACCCGTTCCACTCCTGCCCCTCACCAGCGACAAATTACAGTCACCAAGGTCCTGACTACCCAGACAGGTGCTCCAGTGAGGCAGACGTGCCCTGCATCTGGCTCTGGGTGCTGGGTGACCCCCGAGGTGACCTGAAGACCTTCTGGGGCATTCGGAGGCCCGGCTGCTCTGTGCAGCCTAAGGCTGTGCTCTCAGATGCTGGTGCTTTGCCCCTCAGTGCACACCTGACCCCAGGCGGGATCCCCCTGTCTGTGCATGTGACGACCACGGGTCTCCCCCACCCCACCCCCGTGTGTGCTCGACGTCAGGCATCTCCCAGCACCTCCACGTGCCGGCACTCTCCAGAATCCTACTGACCGCCTCTGTTGCTCGTGCCTCCCCACCCCTTGCAGGCTCTGTGGGGACCCCCTTGCCCGGCGTCGAGGTGCGCATTGTGTCAGAAAACCCGCAGAAGGATGGCTGCCCCTACGTTATCCATGCAGAGGGAAACGAGGAGGACACTAAGGTGAGTCTGTTCACACTGGTGGCACATGGGCATCGTGCTGGCCGCAGCCACCCAGAAGGCTGGCAGCAAAGGTGAAGTCCCCACCGTGCAGGGCAGCCCCTGGACCAGAGTGGCACTGGTGGGCCTTGATTACGGGCGCTGATGTTTGGGGCGCTGTCTGCCATGTGGACAGTGCGGAGCAGAGTGAGGCCAGGCTTCACCCCAGCTGCTTCCTCCAAACCGCATTGAGATGAGTCAGGAGGGCCGCGGCTAGGACAGCCGGAGCTGACGGTGTGACTGGCCCCCCAGCCTAACCGTCACCCCTTTGGACAAATTCACTGGAAATGGAGGTACCCACTTGGGAAGCGACTGTTGTCCGCTTTCTGTGTTGTTCTAAGATCCAGAGGTGAAGGGAAACAAGGACTGTGGTCTCGTTTCAGTGAGGCCTGTCACAGCCACAGGCCTGCTGGTCACAAGTGATCAGGGTCACAGAAGAAGTTGGGGTTGGTGGGAAGTAGAATTTTTAAGAGATGGTTTTTTCTACATCTGCTCTTTATACTGTGGACTTGTGTTAAATCTGAAAACAGCAGTGGTTCCTCATTTCAGAGTTTTTCTTCTTCCTGCACACATTCTGGCGTCACTCCCTGAACCCTCCCACCCCACCCCTCACCTGTTCCTGGAGGGGCCCAGGCATCCCTGCCCTTGTGGACCTTGATCTCATCATGGGAGATGGCAGCATCCAGGAGATGGTTGTTGAATGTCTGAGCTCAAGTACCTGGGGGGGAACGTGGGTGGTTTTTACTGTAATTTTATGAGAAATCACAGCAATGCCGTGGTCTTTGCATGGGTTGAAAAGAATTTCCAGAAAAAAGGCAGAATGAGAGGAGAATGGAGTTTATTAGGATGGGAGACACTGAGCTGACACCTTTCGTGGGCTAGGAGCCAGTTTTTACAGCCTCAAGACAAAGCTCCTACTGGAAGGGTGGCATTAGATGATTGGTTAGGGTGCTATAAGGTGGGTCTTTTTAGCTAATGTGAGGTCAGGGAGCTGCTGGTTTAGATCCCAGGGACTCATGGCAGTGGCTGCTGTGGGACTGGGTTGTTCTGGAGATGACCTTGCTATAGGGCTCCACAATCAAGAAGTATGTGTTCCTTTAACTGAAGAACCTCTCATCTGGGTTGCTTTTGCTGGGCACGTGCCCTCTTGGCCTCTCCTCCCAGGCGTAATGGGCCTTTAGACCAGCCTTGCTCACGTCCACAGTGTGTGGGCAGCTTTCAGGGTGGCCTAGAGGTCCCCAGCCCTGGTCATCACTCCCTGACCACGCTCTGCCTGGGCTCTAACATCAGCCCAGCTGGTCCAGGGCCGACAGCCACACTCACATCGCAGGATCCTTTTCTGGCTCTTGGCCTGTACCCTGAGGTCTCCTCTCCCTCCTCATGGACTCCTGCCCGCACCCAAGTCACCTGCCCCAAACTTCCAGCCCTCCCTGCAGTATCTGGCAGCATCCTCCCACTCCCCGCCACCCTCCAGATGCTCAGCCCGCCCCCATTTTTGGTGTGGTTCCAGGGACCCCGCACTGGAGGAGGTCTCCCCAGCAGAGGAACAGTGTGGGTAGCTGGGCCCATAGGTGCCAGTAGCACAGACGGTGTGGGGGCCCCTGCACCACCCTCCTCTGGGTGCCTGAGCACCTTTCTGCGGGATGTCTCAGGGAACCTGCCAGAGAGAAGGTGGGCTGGGGAGTGGGTCCCTTCTCAGTCACAGCCAAGCCTAATGACTTTGTGCTTGTGGGGCGAGCAGCCCGCCTCTCCAGCAGCTCCTGCACCAGCCTGTAGGGCCTTCCTCACTGAAACATGCTCAGAATAGGAGGTTCTGAAGCGGCAGCCTGGGCCCTGAGCACCTTGACAGTCAGAGAAGGAAGCGAGTGGTCCACAGGGGTGGGGGCTCCAGGACCCTGGAGCAGAGGTGAGGAAGCTTGGGACTTGGAGCTCTAGGCGGCGTGCTCCAGAGTGTTTGCAGTTCAGTCGAAGGGCACATGGGAATGGAGCTGTCTGGATGGCTCACCAACAGGTCTTCTGCCTCCTCTGCCACGTGCCCCTTCCTCGTGCTTGTACTCACGAGAGGGGTGGCAGCCCACCCCCACTCTGAGGCTGGGTGGGACTTGGGGTGCTTCTCACCGCCCCGCCCCTGTAGGGACCCTGTAGGGAGAAGAAAGCAAGTCTCCGCACAAGGGCAAAACCTGTGTGGAGCCTCCGCCCGGCTCCCTGTGCTTAGCGAGACATAGCGGCCAGGGTGGGGCCCAGAGGCACAGCACCCAAGCTCAGGCCTTGCTGGGGGTAGCTGGACGCAGGTACTGCCCACTGCTGACGGCCGTAGAGGAGGACACGGGCTCCCAGGTGCTCACCTGGTCTGAACACATTGCTGAGAAGTACTGGTTGTGTCCCTGACCCGGGACTCGCAGCAAAACCCTCCAGCTCCTATATGATGACTGCCCGCACTCCACACAGTCCAGACAGGAGGGACTATAATGTTCAGAAGTCAGGGGGTCTACTGCTGATGTGGTTCAGGGGTTTTGTTAACATCTAATTGGAAATCACTTCAAACTTACAGGAAAGTTGCAAAAATACCTGAGTCAGGAAAGCTCACTGGCCTGCGCCCAGTGCACCTGTCCTTCCCCACACATGCGGGCTCACCCTCCTGACAGTGGCCCCAGGTGGGCGTCCACTCCTGCCGGTCCTTGGCTCACTGCCTGCACAACCCGCCACCCCACCTCTGTGCAGTGACACCACGTGGCGACTTCCTCCCTGCAGGCTCATCAGGGGTCTTATTTTTTCCATATGGAAGTCCAGTTGTTCATACACTATTTGCTGAGACTACTTTTTCTTTTTTGTAAAGTATATACCTATTTGAATATATGTGTTGTTGTTTAGTTGCTCAGTCCTGTCTGACTCTTTTCTACCCCAAGGGTAGCCTACCAGGCTCATCTGTCCATGGGATTTCCCAGGCAAGAATACTGGAGTGGGTTGCCATTTCCTTTTCCAGCAGATCTTCCCCACCCAGGGACTGAACTGATGACTCCTGCATTCCAGGCAAATTCTTTACTGCTGAGCCCCCAGATACATTTTCTTCCATTGATACGTGTATCTGTTCTTCTGCAATTCCACAGTCTTGACCACTGTGACTTTATAGTAAATCTCAAAATTGTATTGTTAATCTAGCAACTTTATTCTTATTCAAAGTTTTTTTGGTTGTTCTAGTTCTTTTGCTTGCCCATACCATTTTAGAAATAGTTTGCCTATATCTTCAAAAAATCCTTTTGGGAGCTTGATGAAAAATGCGTTCAATTACATATCAGTTTGGGGAGAGTTAACATCTCTACTCTGAGGATTCTTTCAATCTGTAAACATGGTACACCTCCCTATTTACTTAGTTCTGCTTTGGCAGGGGTTGTGTGAGTGCGATCTTCAGCATGCAGCTGCTGTACATGTTCTGTTAGATTCATACCTGAATATTTCCTCCTTTCTCCATCTCTTACTCCTTTTCCTCTTTTTCAATGATTGTAAGTGCAGAATTTTTTTGGTTTTTGTTTCTAATTATTTATCACTAGTATATAGAAATATGATTGATTCAAGCTATTGACTTTGTATCTTGGTAAATTCATTTTTTAACTTTCAGTTCAGTTCAGTCTCTCAGTTGTGTCAGACTCTTTGTGACCCCATGGACTGCAGCACATCAGGCCTCCCTGTCCATCACCAACTCCCAGAGTTTACTCAAACTCATGTCCATTGAGTCAGTGATGCCATCCAACCATCTCATCTCTGTCGTCCCCTTCTCCTTCCTCCTTCAATCTTCCCAGCATCAGGGTCTTTTCCAGTGAGTCCGTTCTTCGCATCAGGTGGCCAAAGTATTGGAGTTTTAACTTCAGCATCAGTCCTTCCAATGAATATTCAGGACTGATTTCCCTTAGGTTGGACTGGTTGGATCTCCTTGCTGTCCAAGGAATTCTCGAGAGTCTTCTCCAGCACCACAGTTCAAAAGTATCAATTCTTCAGCGCTCAGTTTTCTTTATGGTCTAACTCTCACATCCATACACGACTACTGGAAAAATCATAGCTTTGACTAGACAGACCTTTTTTGGCAAAGTAATGTCTCTACTTTTTAATATGCAGTCTAGGTTGATCATAACTTTTCTTCCAAGGAGCAAGCGTCTTAATTTCATGGCTACAGTCACCATCTGCAGTGATTTGGGAGCCCAAAAAAGTAAAGTCTGTCACTGTTTCCATTGTTTCCCCATCTATTTGCCATGAAGTGATAGAACCGGATGCCATGATCTTAGTTTTCTGAATGCTGAGTTTTAAGCCAACTTTTTTACTCTCCTCTTTCACTTTCATCAAGAGGCTCTTTAGTTCTTCTCTTTCTGCCATAAGGGTGGTGTCATCTGCATATCTGAGGTTATTGATACTGCTCCCTGCAGTCTTGATTCCAGCTTGTGCTTCGTCCAATCCAATATTTCGCATGATGTACTCTGCACATAAGTTAAATAAGCAGGGTGACAATATACAGCCTTGACATACTCTTTTCCCGATTAGGAACCAGTCTGTTGTTCCATATCGAGTTCCAACTTTTGCTTCTTGACCTGCATGCAGCTTTTTTAGGAGACAGGTCAGGTGGTCTGGTATTCCCATCTCTTTAAAAATTTTCCACAGTTTGTTGTGATCCACACAGTCAAAGTCTTTTGCATAGTCAATAAAGCAGAAGTAGATGTTTTTCTGGAAATCTCTTGCTTTTTTGATGATCCAACAGATGTTGGCCATTTGATCTCTGGTTTCTCTGCCTTTTCTAAATCCAGCTTGAACATCTGGAAGTTCATGACTCATGTATTGTTGAAGCCTGGCTTGGAGAATTTTGAGCAATACTTTGCTAGTGTGTGAGATGAGTGCAGTTGTGTGGTAGTTTGAGCATTCTTTGGCATTCCTTTCTTTGGGATTGGAATGAAAACTGACCTTTTCCAGTCCTGAGGTCA